GTGTGGCTGTTTCGCATGAGCTCTCACAAGTCTTATAAGATGTGCTTCGTGCTGTGATCTGCCATTATACAATTCTCATCACTAGATAATATCAGCCTTTACACACACCAAGCTTGAACAAAACTCTCTGGCACGACTTTAGTGAACACCAAGTGACACATTGCACTCCATATTCTTGCAGGAAGGCTCTTTTGGCCTCAGTGTCAAGTAAAAGGCAAAAGCCATTATGTAGAATGATGAACGGAGATACATCAAGGCCGAAGGCTTGTTTGGGCTTGTGTCAACTTGCTGCTACTGTTTAAAGCAATCTTCACAAACATGTTCTCTTTGCCTTTCAGAACACCTTTTCCTTTCAACCCACCTCCTCCTGCTCAACAGCTCCCGAAGCAAACTTGCCGTTCATCGAGAAGCCCATGAAGCGCTGCAAGTCGTAAATGGATCATGATTCATGATGAATCAAGCATTTCAATCGACAAACGTGTGAAATTGACGTAAACAATCTATTTGAAACAGAAACAGTTGCAAGAAAGTCCCTTATTAAGGTCTTTTGGCCCTCTTAACGAGAGCCCTTATTAAAGGGGTCGAACCATCTCTTTCTTTACTATTTCGTTTCTTGTCAAGTTGAACAATTGCTATCGCAGCAGATGCCAACCAATCTTGCCCTGAGCAAGTTTCTGCTCTTGTTGGTCTCCACGTTCCCCTAAAATGCCCTAATTCCCACTGATTTCAACCAACTGTACAGCTGTGAATAGCTGCCTTGTCTGCACCAACTGAAAAGTACAGGTACATCCCATAGCCGTGCATGTAGCCATCTTTCCACCTAGGAGTCTTTTCCTTTCCCAAGTAAACTTCAAAAAGTAGAAAATAAACTGAATGAATATAAGTATATATATATATATGTAACAATGTATATATAAGTATAAATTAAGTCTAAGTCCGGTTGGTTCTTTCTGCTTTCAGTAGGAACCGGGCGTGCCCCGGTATTCACGGCCATCAGGCCATCGGTAATCACCCACCTCAACGTCAGCTCGACTTGGAACAATAAACGAGAACAACCAAGAATGAGAGCTAACGATACAAATGGTAAGAATCAGAGGAAGTTAAGTAGTGAGACGATTGGTGAAGCAAGGTGAATTGGTCCAAACGGGACAAACTTGCTCACTTGCTTGACATTGCTACTCCGTGTCCCAAAACCTGAAGACCTCACCATAAGATGAACAACAAACCGAACCGACAACAGCTCCACTAGCAAACCAGTCGTGGAAGCAAGAAGTACCGAAATCACAGAGCTTTGTTGAAATTTGTGGGTGCAACCTGTGTGCATCCAGGATGCACCGTGGAACTTGCTGTTGCGATAGTTGCCGGTATATACCTTAGCATCAGTTGTAAGATGAGTCAATCAATCAAGTCTCAGTGGTGGTGGTAGTAGGAGTAGTAGTAGTAGTAGCAGGAGTAGGAGCAGGAGCAGGAGTAGTAGTAGTAGTAGTAGAAGAAGAAGAAGAAGAATAGGTAGCCAGTAGCTATTAATACTGTAATCATCCTTCAGGATCTTGACCGAATCTTGCAGACTGGGTGTGCTGCTGCACCACTACAGCTGCAGTAACGGCCCATCTGGAGTTTGGATCCAAGCAGTGGATGCAAGCATGCTCAGCACTTGCTTTTGGTATCCAACCAGTATCCAACCAGCTCAATAACTGCACTCCCGCCAAATTCCGCCAAGTCTTGTCTAGTCAATCTCACACATCGCCACAGGACCAACAGCAATTTCTTGAGAGGTCCGAAACATGCAAACGCATTTGTATAATCATATCTAATCCACCCACATTTGCTCAGCGTCTGTGCCTTGTACGTGCCATTGTCGAACGAACCCTACGGCGCAAAATACTCTAGTGGAAAACCGTTCAAGTCTGGCAAACTAGAGACAAATGTCACTACGAAAACAAGGAAGATCAAGGAACCAATTTGCAAAAAGGAGTCCATCCTACAGCCTCAAAGGTCTCTGGCCCACTCTGCAGTAGCCCCTCACCATGCATGGCGATTGTCTCCCCTGGCGTTGGAAAATGATCGAACAGATTACATGTTTTCAAACGCCTATAAAACACTGACTTGAAAAAATGTCTTGTCGTGACAGTTCGGCCCGACTCGGCTCCTTTGATTTTTTAAACGTGTGCAATACATGGCAGTACCATGCACGTACTACATAGTTTCATGCCTGCACCGTATCTCCTGACCAAAATATTGTCATATATTGTCACCCTCCCTGGCCGGCCGGCGCCTTTCTTCATGTACTGCCCTGAATAGGTCGAACCATCTGGAAAGACCTCAAGTACCGCCAGTTTTCAAGCTTACATTGAACAAATAGACACAAAAGGTGCCACGAACTTTGCAAAGTTCGAAACAAAATCTCCTTGAAGGATTTCAGGAGGCGGTTCTTCCTCAGGTGCACATGAACTTCATGCTTCTCCAACGCAGGTTGATCTACAACAATAACACTGCCTTCACCTCCTCCTCTGGCTCGGGGGCCTCAGCACATCACGGGTGAAGTCGTTTTGGAGCATGGGCAGCAGGGGTCGGGCTGCTTTCTTGGGTGCCATGCACCTGGTCAGAGCTTTGCGCAACTTAGCCGGCACATGCAAGGTACGTTGGAACCTCGCGCAATGTGGCGCCTGGCCCGTCGACCTGCGCACTTGGTGTCAAGGCCTTTTTGACATTTGCTGCGAGCCAAATGTCACGGTGGCAGCGTTGATTTCTGTGGTGTCTGAACTTTTGCTCTCCTCCCCCCCTCTCTCTCTCTCTCTCTCTCTCTCTCCGCCTTCTCTCACTCCTGTCTTTCCCGTCTTTCCCTCTCTCGGCGCCTTACAGTGCACGCGCTTACTTGCTCAGCCAAAGTTTGTGGCTGGGGTTTGTACGGTTTTGTTAAGGATTTGCAGCTGGCACCTTCTCTCCCCATAGGGAGCATTCAAGGCCATGTTACGTACACACGCGCACATATGGCGTGGAACACTCGCGCTCGTGCACTTGACGGGCGGGCCTTCAAACATCACATGCAGATGAAGATGGAGCCTCATCAAAACAGATCCCAGGGCTTGTAGCTTCATACCCGCAGAACAGCCACAGACAGGGCAGCCGGGCAGCAGGGTAGGGTGCTTCCTGTGCCTGTGGGCAATGTCGACCACGCCTACACCGAACCCAGAAGCCCAAAGAAGAATCAATGAACCTTGCCTTTGTGGGCCCGCTGCTAGTGTTTATCCAGTCGCCAAGCGGTTGAAAGGAGCGGGCTTCAAATCACAAGCGCAGCGTGGAATCAACGTGGTCGATGGGCGTAGGACATGAGTAGGAGGTCTGAGCGACGCAGACTTTACGCTTCCTGCCGGCTGTTGCTACTTGTAACTGTGGCAAGTTTGCCGGTGGTAGGTCTTGCCTCGGGCGCTGGTACTGCCAACTGGCCAACCGGGCTTCCTGCGCTGGCTGGTAGGCGCGCAAATCTTTTGCTTTGCTGCAGCCTTGCCTTTGCTCTTGGGCTTTCCCCAGTGTACCCTTTCCCCTTTCACCTTATTCTTTCCTGTGTTGCAACTTCCAATGTCCATTGCACAAGTCCATGGCAATCTTCACAGAGCGTGGTCAGACTTCGATCTAACCAAATCGCTGATGAATATGTCTATGAGCGCCAGAGGAAATGCATAGCCTGCAGCGGAGCTTTCTGCTTAGCCAAGGCGCTTTCTTCATCTTCTTTGAGAGGGCTGACCAGCGACAAAGAAGACCTTGCGATATGGATGCATCTATATAGGCGTGGCGCAGACTCCTGATGAAGCTCCGTGGATGAGAAGACGTGGTTGAATATGCGGGCTTTTGCAGGCACCCCGCCACGGCAATATGTTCGGGCGGCCTGGAAATGGCCGAGTTTGCCAACGAAAAAGAGCTCCTCAGTACCAGAACCCGCTTGCAAAGGACGCAGGGACGCCTCTTCGTTTCATGACTTGAACTGCCAAGCTGCAGGCAGGCTTTGTCTTAGGCTTCGCGCTCAAAAGCAAACTTGTATCCAATCGTTTGGCATCTTCACTGTCCTGGTGTCAAGCCAGCTTGGCAGGAAGAGCCTGGCAGGAAAGGGCTAGTGACTGCGTCGAATTCATTTGGACTACTGCCTGGCTGAGCTGCAGGGGGTGAGTTGCAAGCCAAGCACGCAACACCAGTGAAGCACACGTCCAGTCCTGTTGCTGAACCATTTGCGCAAAGCTGCTGGGCAAAGCAATGCCGCGAACCTATGCTCATCCATGCTCCCAGGCATGCTTCCAGCTGGAAAATTGGAAGCCTGAAGGCGGCCACCATATCTCCAGATCACGCTTCAAAATTCAGCCATGGGTGGGCAGGGCTCGCCCGCCCTTGAACCTTTCATCCTCGCTCGGGTTTCCGCTGTCCACCTGGCTTGCCAGGCTGTGCCCTCGTGCCAAATGCCTGCGATGCAACTTGAAGAATGTTAGACGATCGAAAAGGGCATCTTTGATAGACAGGTTGGCCACCATCAGTTGTGCTCGCTTAGCAGATTTTGTTCAGGTGTCCAATATCCCAGGACCTGTGGCTAGTGTAGTCTTCGACATTGGCTGCTCATGTTTTTCATACTGCCTGTGGCTGTAGAGGTGCTGGGCTTTAAGCCGGTCTTATAGCTTCAGCGCAGGTTTCTCTACTTCCTTGAGTACTCTATGTTGTGGCAACAAATAGGCCTTGAAGGATTGGCCCCACTCTTCCCATTGCGTGTCGTCGCCAGCATATCTAACTTATGCAGGTAGCTAGCTTGTATCTGAAGCTCCACTACCACGTCACAGTAGATGTACTTGTCAAGCCAAACTTTGCAATTGGGGCTCTGGCACTTTATTGTGGGCATCTTTTCTGTAATGGGCTGTCCTAGGCTCGCTGCCTCGAGTATGTAAAGTGCACATGTAGTGTAAGGCACTCGTGGGTCCATACATTTGATCTTTCCCATGTCATTCTTTCGGGCGAAGGGCCTTTGGCTTCTCCGGCACTGAGCCTGGCCGTCGACCTGAATTCACGTGCACTGCAAAAGAGCTAGATAATATGTTGCTTGACGGCCTTGAAGAACTTTAACAAAGAACTTGATAGACACCACACAATATTGGTTGGTTGATCTTGGAATTTCTTGAAGCATGGAAACTGACGTTGGATTCAAACCTGGCACTAGAAAAACAACTCTGGACAAGCTTGCTGCAAAAGAACGGGGAAAAGCAAATTATGCTCGTCAGCAACATATCAGTTCAATTCATGTTTTGGCTCATAATCATAATTTTGTTCTTGGCAGTAGTGGGCAGATTAAGCTTGGCGCCAGACCGGCAAAAAGAAGGAATACTCTGGTGGCAAAAGAGGAGATTGTGAATATATGACCACACTGACTACATGCGCTCTGCTGCCAGGCTTTTGAAGCAACAAATGGAACATTGTAACAAATTAACCAACAGCTTGCAGACAAACTTGAAACATGGTGCATTGAACAAAGGATGTGTTCTTTGTCACCTGACTCCAAGTTGCAGCACCAGCCCAAGCTCCAAAGTCTATTGCAAAAATCTTTTATGCAAATGAGTGGCAGCAGTGTTCTAGTGTTCTAGTGAAGGGAGGAACAGTGCACCACCTCATATGGAAGTCTCAAGTTCTTTCATAACAGAAGCCCCAGGCCACTTCTGAAGCAGGCAGGATGCTTCAGGAATTGTTATGAGGCCAGGGAGTCAATGGGCTCCAGGGGCTCTATGTGTCATGCTTCACACCGCCCTACATGCACAGTGTTGCATCCCACTGTTTTACACTGTTTTGTGAATGCCACGTCGTTCAGGATTTCTTCTTTCAACACCACACCCAGCACTTGAGGAAAAGGGGCGAAAAACTCACTCCACTTGGCACTGTGACATACGCCAGGACCTAGCGGCTAGGTGCCTGGCCAAAGATGTCGCTGGCTCGAAACATCGCTCTAAAAGGGACGCACTTCTATCAATGCCTCCACAGTGAGCAATGCCATCCCGAAAGCACACAATACCTTTAAACAATGAACGCAATAACCGCATAATTACTGGCTGAGACCTGGTCCAGCCTGGCTCCTCTCCCCTCTCTGCAGCTTGAGTCTGTTCAACTCGACTCTATTCCATTGCAGAGGAGCGAAGCTATGCTTGCTTGAGCAATGCAAATCACTATAAGTCAGGTGCCAGTACAGGCACATGGTTTGCTTGGGCGTTTCCTCCCAATTTTCTTGTGGGAAACAAACTCCTGACAGTCAGAACCACCTGTTTTCTTTCTAATCTGCGAAGGCAACAGAAAAGCATAACCTGCGAAACAGTTCTCAACAAGCCGAAGGTCCTGAGGACGAACTGCCCTTTCCCGTGCCGCTTCCTACAGTGTGATATCTAATGTGGCTGATTGCAGGCATGAGAAGAGCAAATCGAAACACAGATTGCTTGGATACCTTGCCTCTCAAGCTACTGTATCTGTTCTTTGTGGGCCGCCAAGACAGAGATGCAGTCTATTTCTGATGACAGTGTGTATCCTTTAATGGTGCGTTTAGTAGCTAGATGATCCTAGATGTACCTAGATTTTGGCTTGTCATACTTAAGACAGCCAAATCCTGGCAGGTCTTGGGATATGTTGACAGTCAAAGGCAGCAAACCACAGCGAAGTCAAAGGGACAGGTCAATCAAGACATTGAGATGGCTTGAGAATGTCTGTATGTCCACAGAACCCTAGACAGCTTTGAGCTCTTAAACCATCTTATATAAACCTTTCCAATCGCAAGAACATCAACTCGAGTTTTGTTCATGAAGCCGAGAGAAAGTCTTGGAGCGTGTCCACATAGAACTCTGGCTGGATTCCCTCAGTACCTTTCTTTCGGGGCACCCGATCCATGAGTTCATCCTCACTTGTAACACCTGAGAGTGTCAAGCATGTCTTGAGGCCATTGTTGCGTCCAAAAGCAATGTCGGTATCCAAGCGGTCGCCGACCATGCAAATGCGAGAACGATCGGAGATGCCATACTTCTGGGCAATGTAGTCAATCATCAGTGGAGCAGGCTTCCCGACAAGTGTCGGCTCTCTTCCAGTGCAACCTGAGACTGCAGCCACCATAGTCCCACCCCCTGCCCATTCCTGAGCATGTGTCAGGTGGGTGACACGGTCCAAGTTCGTTGCGATAAATTCACAACCTGGCAACTCGTTCAAGCACAACTGGGCATATTGCAACTTGTAGTAGTTGATGTGGCGGTCAAAACCGACAACCACAGCTCCTACGTCGTGGTCCACATCCACTTTGCCTCCCGAACCCATGTCTGCCTGCTTGCCTGCATCTCCCTCACCACCCAACCAGGGGATGCCAACCAAATCAAGCTCCTCAGAAATACCTTTCTCTCCGATGATGTAGACCTTCTTGCCAGTGTCCTTGAATTTCGTCTGCTCCAAATATGCTGCTGCAGCAAACGATGAAGAGAAAATCTCCTCTGGCTGCACGTCCAAACCCAACGAAGTGAACTTGGACTTGTATCCGGCCCGGCTCTTGGTGGAGTTGTTCGTCACAAAGAAGAGCGTCTTGCCATCAGCTCGCAGCTTGTCTAAAACTTTGGGAACTCCGGGAATAAGAAAGTCACCTCTCCAAAGAACTCCATCGCAGTCGAAAATAAAAATGTCAATGCCATCCAAAAGCTTTCCAGGTTCTTTCAATTTTTCACGTGCCATCATGCGCCATCAACTCATGGCGAACATCAAAATGCGCAGTTTTTTCATGTGCAAAGTGAAAGGGTTGTCCCTATGAACTGAACAGTAGTTGTGACCTACTCAACATTCAATTGCCCTTGGCGAAATCTGTCCATGTGAGCCTGCCAATGTGCAGTCTGATGTGAAGTACAAAGGATGTGAACATATTGCAAAAGACCTCAAGGTTCCAAGCCCATCTTGCAACAACATATAGAAGATAACAGCGCATATAACAACGAAAACACCCTGCTGTGCATCTGTTGGTAGCTGGGGAACCACAAGCAAAAGTGTCTTGAACAACTGGATGTGGTAGACAGCTATGGATACGCCTTGTATCAGGGGTGGTGCACGTGAAGCTCCACAAGGTCAACAGGCCCACTGCAAAGGCCCCAACAACAACGCAGCGACAGCGAAGTTCTTTCCTCACACGTACCGGGTCAGCTCCATCCAGGAGCTTACATGGTCCCTGACATTGGGCCCAAAGGTCATGCGGATAGCAATTCATGAGAATGCCTCAACTTCAAAATAGCTTCCAAGCATGAAAACTGACACGCCCCAAGGGGGTTGCCAGTAGCTTGACCTTTGTGTCGCTCGTCAGGCTTCAACTCCCTTGCCTTCGCACGAAGCTTCTTCACGCTGGTTGGATCGAAGGCCAAGGTCCAACAGCCCTCGATCAGCGCTTTCTGGAGCACTCCCGGTGGCAAAGGGCTTGGTCAAAGCGTCGGCCAGTTGGGCCTCAGACCACCGAACCGTGGTCTCCATCCGGCTCAGTGACTCAAGGAGGCACAAAACTTCCAAGGACGAAAACTTGTCCTTCAAACCTGCTGCCGAGCTATTCAAATCCTTCTTTTGGAGCACATCATACAAAGCTCCCGCGTCCACCACTAGTGCCGTGGGGACGCGGCTCACAGCAAGCTCGACCTTTTTCAGGTCGATGGGAAAACCACAAAACTCTGCCCACGTACATCGCCTCTTGGTCGGTCTCTGCTAGTGCTTGGGCCTCAGCGGCCAGAGAGGATCTGGCCTTTCGAGCGAGCTTCGAAGACCTCCATGAGATCATGGTCTAAAGGTGACCGGTGGCCTTGGATCATGGATGGCGCCGTAGCCGCTATGACATAGCCACCCGTCAAGCTCAGGTCACGACGGTTTGCCAACGCTGCGTCGCTCCAGCCAATGAAGTGCACCTGACGGGGGTCGTCCACACGCAGCTGATTGATCCTGGCCGAGATGCGGCGTGAGTGGTAGTTGTCCCTCACAAGCTTGTTCGCTGCTTTCAGCGTCGACACGGTGGCCACAGAAATCTCACTCTGCAATTGCCCAAGTCGTGCGGAGATCAGAGGATTGCTCTGGTGAGCGCGCCATTGCAAGGCGCCAAGGACTCCACGAAGTTCTGAGTGAGCCCATCAGCATTGGCCAACTCATGGTCTGGCCGGCTCTCGAAGTTGATCTGCTCGATTCCTTCGGGGAAGGCACTGTGGTCCAGCAACAACCAAAGTCCTCTAGTTCCGGAAGGCGAATGCCGCAATGCAAGAACTGCCATGTTCCCAGGGCGACCGCTTATAGCGGTCATAAAAACCCGTCAAAGCTTCTGCCCATTCCTCTTTGGCCTCGTCACCGCCAATGAAGAACGTCGACATGCGAGCAGATGAACCCATAGGTTGGCCGGTCCCCACCGTCATCCGGTGGCCCAAAAAGAAAATACAAACATGGGTCAGCCCTAGACTGTTCAAAACCCAAAGAAAGCAAGGTCTTGAATTGGACAATTGAAACCAGCTTGCGGGAGCATTGACGAGGCCGTAGCTTGAACCGCCTGGCCCTCTGGTAGGTGGAGTGCTCGAAAAAGTTCCGGCACAGGCACTGCGAATATCCTGGCTTCTTCACTGCCTTCACCCTGTAAAAAGGCGGCCTTCACGTCCGCTTTGAGGATGCGCCACTTTCGAATGGTGGCATGCTGGACTGCCAGCTGTCGAGTCCGTCTTGTCATCGGGGTCCTGGAGCCCAACCAGGACTATCCGTCCCTTGGCAGCGCCGGAATCCTTCCATGTCAGGACCCACTGCGGACGGTGCGCCCTGTGGGGATCGGTCCAACCACGCGGCGAACTGCCGCAGCTGAAAACCACTGGGACACCTCGGCCTGCTTTGCGACCTCGAGCTCCTTCTTCTGGTCCACTGTCAAGAGGTGCCACTGTAATTCTGCTCCTTTGATCTTCTTGGCGTAGAAGGCGTCGGGAGAGCGTTTCAGGCGCCTCCAGTCGCTGGCCTCGTCAGGCATGGGGAGCTCGATGGCGCAGGCCATTCCTTCCAAGGGCGAGGTGCCATCGGACATGAAAAATGATGAAACCAAAAACTCTTCAGCGTCGCTCACTCCAAGTTCTTTCCGACGTTTCTTGAACATCGGCTGCTGGAAGAGCTCGGAGGTCGAGCGATTGCTGCTCTGCGTGGCATGCGGCGCTGGCGCATACGCGGGATCGGTGAGGTACCGATCAAGGTCTACCCGGCTAGCACTAGAGCTACTCTGACCTACAGGTGGAGGGCTTCTAGACCGGTGACCTGCCTTTTCCTTCTTTTCTTTCTTTTCCCTCCACGAAGGTGTAGCGGTCTGGCTAGCCGGTCGCCTGGCAGGTGTTCTCGATCGTCCTCGGGCAGCTGGAGTCCGAGGGGCGCCAGTGCACTGTTCGTCTTCTGGGAGGATGTGTTGATCAAGAATCTCAAAGTCTCCACGAAACAAGGTCTGGGTGAGGTTCTGGAAAGCCCAGCTCGCCACGGGCGTTCGCACCCACTGCAATCAACTTCTCTCTTCAGAGGCGTGTCGAAGTTGTTCAGGGGCACATCTTTTTAAAGCGGCCGTGGGAAAAAATCCATACGATGCTAGTGGGCTTTCGTTCCGAACCCCGAGCATCGGCGCGAGTTTCTGAAGCCTAGACGCGAGCTGGCCCATACCAGCGCCATATCTTGTGTGCCAGCCGCGCGCTTGCCTGGGGCTGAGCTGGTGGCTTGATGCGCTTGAAGAAAACCAAATCACCTGGAAGGAAAACCAAAGCTCTGCGGGTCTTGGAGTTGGCAGCTCTAGTGATGGCCTCTTGTGACTGGAGCTTCAAAAAGTTTTGTTGGGCTTGAACTTGAAGCTTCAAATTAGCAGCCATGTTGCTCGATGGAACTGGGGACGAAGTCCACCGCGGGTCGTCGTAGCCAGCATCATGAAATCTCTTGGACATAGTTGGCTGGCGTCCGAACGCCCATTGGAAAGGACTATAGCCCTCGATGCGCTCGAACTCATTGTGGGTCTGGCATGCTTGGACCACGGCTTGCCAGCGATTCACATCAGCGCCCCGGAGGAGCTTTTGAACTGTCTTCTTATCTTGATGGAGCATTCCACAATGCCAATGTGTCCGTGAGCCTCAGCAGCGCACGGCAGCAATTCAACACCATGTTCTTCACACCATTGGCCCACCAAGGTGGACCTGAAAGCAGCTTCAGTACGAAAGGACACCATACAAGAAGAGAACCCTTTTGAGAGCGGACCTCGCATCCCGCCTCACGGGAAGAGCTTGGTCGCTAGTTTCCGCCCAGGTGGACCACAGTCGACTGCAGGAAGTGGACGGCCCAGCCTATTTGTTGCAATTCCTAGAGGATCGGCTTTGCAAAGCTCCAATCCCAGATACAGGAGCTAGGTTGGAAGATTTTTTTCATCGGCTACGCCGTGCACCTGGCGCCGCGATTGCCGAGTGGTCGGCCCAGTTGAGGGAATCCTATGCCCGCTTGCAGAGAGCTATGGCCCGGCAGAGAGCTGACCTTCAACGCCGACAAGGCGTCAGCAAGCCCTCCACACTTCAGTCCAATTCACCTCAACCCCAGAGCTCCAGTCAGACCTCGCCAGAGCCTCGCCGCTTGTTTTCCTCTCCTGCTCATTCACCTCAGGCCAGACCGGATAATCGCTTTGTCGAAGAAGAAGGCCCGGAACCTGCTGCCTCGCAAGGTGGCAATCCTGGCGCACCGCGTCAGGATGGTTGGATTGCCGCGGAATGGGAGGAATGGTACAACAGTGGAGGTTGGTGCAAGTGGCACGCCGATGACTCGGCAGACGAAGTTGAACAGCAAGCTTGTGATGCGGAGATCCGACGAGATCCTTGGATTCCCGGACAAGGTGAGGACTTTTGCCTTGACACACGCAAAGCAGCTTTCAAGGGGATATTATCCCATGAGCATGATTAAGGGCAAGAACCCAAGAGGCAAGGGGAAATCAAAGAGCAAAAGTTTTGGTAAGAAAGGATCACCCTCCCCTAAAGGCACCCCTTCCTCCATCAATTTTGGGAAGGGAGCTCCAACCGGCCAGAAGCCGGGCAGTCCAGAATACAAGGGCTGCTTCGCGCGCGGCTCCAAAGACCATGACTTTCGAAGTTGTCCCAAGCGCACCAGTGACCGACCGACCTCTACGGCTCACTTCATCGGCTCGATCTTCAGTTGTTCCGATGAGGACACGGTGGACGCGCTGGCCAATTTGACTGGCTCCTTCCCTGGATGTGCTGTCATCGATTCAGGAGCGACGGATAGCATCGCTTCACTTGAGGCCCTTCAGCAGATCATGAATGCTCGCATCCTCAAGTTTGGTGAAGAACCTGTGACAGTGCACCCCCAGCAGAAGGCCTTCAGGTTCGGAATGGCAAAATTCAGAAAGCTGAATCTTTGGTCGAGCTGCCACAGTCGGTCAACGGCCAGTTCATGACCTTGAACGTCCACTCCATTGGTGCCCCTGGAGTGCCACTACTTCTTTCCGCCCAGACATTGACGGAGATGGGAGCGATTGTAGACTTCCAGAATGCATGCATGCCACAGAGGGCTGGTATAGCGCCCCAATGGCTTCGCCTGGCAACACGCCATTTGACGCTGACAAGCCTCAGTCCGAGTACAAGGGCCGCCTCGACAAGTCGTTTGTTTTGCATGATGTTTTGGAGTCTTCTCAGCAGTCATGTCCACCTGATGACCGTGATCTACCATGCAATCATGGCGGGTCAGCTCCATCCAGGACCTTACATGGCAAAGGGTCCCTGACATTGGGCCCAAAGGTCATGCGGATGGCAATTCATGAGAATGCCTCAACCTCAAAATGGCTTCCAAGCATGAAAACTGACAGCGTCCACCTGTTTTAGAAGGAAACTATATAACTATAAAAAAGATCTTTATCATATTGGAGCCACTTGTTAGCAACCTCAACATGGTTCTGTTACACAGTTGTGCAGGTTGCAGCCTTCCCAACCTGAGCACCAACAGCATGAATGAAATGCAACATTGCCAAGGCATGAGCCACCACTGTGGAGGCTCTTAGAGCGATATCGCAACAAAAAGCGGCCAGGCAGGACATGCTAACGTGCAAACGCAAAGAGAAGTCACATCAGCACGAGATGAGGTAGCAACATCCAACAGCAGAAACCCATAGTCATGAAAATTATTGAACCAAAGGCAAAACATACGGAAACCGCAAAACGGGAGGACTTATACAGGGGTGATGAAGCTGAGCAAACCCAGCCACAACCAAATCCGCCCGCACCGAAGGCTACATGGCTTTAGCTAGGGGGCCGCTTTCGTTTGGGAACGAACATGCGTATCCTGCGTCACCAGGTGTCTGGGAGACGAGTGGAAATGTAAAAAATTGGAAAACAGATGGTTTTCACATGTCATGCATGTTGGACTATATTTCTGATTGTCGTATCACTGGCATCGCCAGGTCTATGATCTATGAAGGCAAACAAACGACTCCTCTCAACACTCTTAGTTTTAAACTTTTCATGAAGTGCATCATATGCATCAGCAAGCAGGTTGCACTTGTATAGTTTTAGCATCGTATGCATCAGCTGGTTGCAATGGTATTATCTATTGTACAAAATGCTGGCAAACTAAAGTGATTTGGACACCCCGGACAATGTACAGTTTCATGGCTGGCAACAAAAATACAACTTTGGAAGAAAGGCATACAGTAAATTAACAGTTTGTAAATGGGTCCCCCAAAACATAGAGACTGTGTTTTCCACTCGTCCACTTCATGCTGCGTCCATCTCCAAGTTTATTTCAGTCACGCGCATGGTAAAACTTATTGTATATTCACTCGATTTTTTGACCCCTTGAAATTGTACATTCTTTAGGGTGTCCAAATGACTTTGATTTGCCGACATCGATGGACATGATTTGGACACCCTAAATACTATTTCAAGGGCGTCCAAAAAAAAAATATATATATATCCAACAATGCTTGCAAATTGCATGTAAGACATAACTAAACAATTTGTCAGAGGGTCCCTCTGTCTGAAAGCCACTGGTGCGGGCGGTTGTCGTCGCGAAGGGGCCCGACTCACCATGGTTACATATCACAGGTGTGAGACGGTGTGGCTTTTCAAGACATTTTCAGGGAGCCCTATCAAAGCAATCGCTGGCTATCATTGATTCGTTCTTGGTGCTGTGCATACTCCGCCGGCTCAACTTCCACTCCTGTTCCAGCCTTTTGGCCCAGTATCGTATGCTCATGACACTCTTCTTAGATTAACCCACATGCATTATTACAAATAATGACTTTCATTCACTTTGACACTTGTTCATGCAACGAACGTCTCAATGTTTCATATAGATGTTATGGTCACCCAGCAACTTCCGGCAAACTGCGATGCATGCGGCGGAAAAATTCATGCTTGGGGAGGATCGTGTCATGACCCCGATGGCGACCATGACAGAAACAAATCAGAACCCTTTTGAATGGGCGTGACAACATGTTCAATATTGTTCAGCACAGTTTGAAGAGAAAGAGAAAGAGGAAGAGGAAGAGGAAGAGGAAGAAGGGGAGTACCTGAGTGTTGCATCCAGGAAGAGGGGGGGAAGGGAAAGGGGAGGAAAGGGATTAAGGCCCCGACGGACCTTGAATAGCTTTGGTTGCTGCGACCACGTAGTGGCGTGCCTGAAGGCTGCCTACTCAAGACCGCTGCGGTCACCTAATGGCTTGCTTGATAGCTGCCTACTTGGCTTCAATAGTTCATCAGGTCTTGGCAAGTGACTTTGGCTTAAGCCTACTTCGCCTGCTGTGGGCACGTATGTTCCCGGGCCAGGGGAGCATGGAAAAAACCGCGCTCGACGGGTCCACAGAGAACACTCTTCGGGCTCACCCTGGGCTGGCATGAAACCAGACACACTTGAGATATTGTGTATGGACTGACGCGGTTTGCCACACGCCAGCCTAAGTGAAAACCTAAGGTATCAGGAGAGTAGGTTGGAGGCCATTACATCAAGGTTGGAGGCCAGCGCATCTAGGTCATCGCAACAGGTTGGAAGCCATCACCGTGGTTGGTTTCATGCGAAAAAAGACTCACAGCAGCAACACTCTCACACCACTAGCAGGGTGGAGGCCATCACAGCAAAGTTGGAGGCCCTCGCTACAAGGTTGGAGGCCAGCGAAAAACACGAAATGCAAGTTACGGTTAGTAGCAGAAGCACATGAACCACAATGAAAGCAAACCACAGGGAGAACAACAGGTAACCAGCTTGGCGGGTACGTTTGCGCGCATCCCGGAGGAGGTCTTCGTTGGCCACCGCTCCTCTGGGACCCCGCTGGCCCGCCGCTGAAAACAAATTCAAAAGAACCCCTGTGACTCCAATTGTTACGTACACACACAAAACGCACGCGCCTCCTCCAAAAAATGCAATTTGCCATCAAAGCTGTAAAGCGCAAGTGGTCGTGCTTAAGATCCACAAGAAGGCCCACAGCATCAACACTGGAAAGTATGGATGTGGTTCCCAACACCTGCCGGCCCACATTTGGGAAGAGATCGGTCACCAGACCCATCAGCAGAATGCTGAAATGGCGGCCCAGCACCGAGGGGCGAAGCGAGACCAAAAGGTCAAACCGGTCAGGCCTTTCAGATCTTTCACCTCCAAGCCGCGCAAAACAGAAACCTACCTTCCCAAAGAACAAACCGGACCCGAGCGGCACCTAAAGACAGGGAGGAAAAACTATGCTTCCAGCGAGGTTCCACCGAACCTCATAATACACTTTCGCCAAAGAACGCTTAAAGGCTAGCTGCTTCACTTCACCTTGAGTGATCCCCACCATGGAAATACTCTTCTGATAGCCGACGGCGATTTTGCCTCAACATCACCGAGAAATGGTGGTGGCCACTGCGGTTCCGGCCCGGGGGCTTGCACAGCGATCTAGCGCTTGTGCTTAATTTTCCGGTGGCGCCTACGGCGATCTAGTGCTCGTGGTTGAGGCCCGCCGGTGCCCAAGCGCTCGCGGTTGAGGCCCGGTGGTGCCCATTAAAATCTGGTACTTGTGGACTTGTGGAGGAGGAGGCGAGGAGAAGAGGACGGGAAGGAGAGGACAGCTCTGATAAAGTGTAACAACTCTCACCTGGCAGGTGGGGAAAAGGAAGAAAGGAAGAAAGGAAAGGAAAGGACAGAAAAGGAAAGAACAGCAAAGAACGGAAAACAACAACAAATAAAAGTTTTGAACAGAAAAGAAAATAAATAACGGAAGGAAGGAAGGAAGGAAGGAAGAAACAAGCAAACAAACAAATACGAATACGTTCCAAACTAAATGCACCATTGCCAGTCAATTCGGAAAGCATTTAGAATCGTCACCTTGCTGTAAACCTGCCTGTTCTATCAGCTGAGCATCTTACCAATTTTGCACTTCCTCACTCAAGACAGTCCACTTGGTCTGTGAAGATTGAGCTACTGGCCTCAATGACATCGCTCGCAATGGAAAATCGTTTAAGGTACTTTGTACCATCAATGCGAGAAAATGCCTGTTCTCTAGACTACAGGAAAAGACTTGCCCAACAGGCGAACGCTCTAAACACAGGAGTCATGTTGCCAGACGTCTCTCAAAGATGCATTTGACAAATAGGATTTTGAACTGGCTCTCATGGCCGGATGCCATAGAAGTCGCAAATGGTGTCCACATAGAACTCTGGCTGGATTCCCTCAGTACCTTTCTTTCGGGGCACCCGATCCATGAGTTCATCCTCACTTGTAACACCTGAGAGTGTCAAGCATGTCTTGAGGCCATTGTTGCGTCCAAAAGCAATGTCGGTATCCAAGCGGTCGCCGACCATGCAAATGCGGGAACGATCGGAGATGCCATACTTCTGGGCAATGTAGTCAATCATCAGTGGAGCAGGCTTCCCGACAACTGTTGGTTCTCTTCCTGTGCAACCTGAGACAGCTCCTACCATAGTCCCATTTCCTGCCCATTCCTGCGCATCTGTCAGATGCGTCACACGGTCCATGTTGGTGGCAATAAATTCGCAACCTGGCAACTCGTTCAAGCACAACTGGGCATATTGCAACTTGTAGTAGTTGATGTGGCGGTCAAAACCGACAACCACAGCTCCTACGTCGTGGTCCACATCCACTTTGCCTCCTGAACCCAAGTTCGGTGCCTGGTCTTTGTCTCCCTCACCACCCAACCAGGGGATGCCAACCAAATCAAGCTCCTCAGAAATACCTTTCTCTCCGATGATGTAGACCTTCTTGCCAGTGTCCTTGAATTTCGTCTGCTCCAAATATGCTGCTGCAGCAAACGATGAAGAGAAAATCTCCTCTGGCTGCACGTCCAAGCCCAACGAAGTGAACTTCGACTTGTATCCGGCCCGGCTCTTGGTGGAGTTGTTTGTCACAAAGAAGAGTGTCTTGCCATCAGCTCGCAGCTTGTCAATTACCTGTGGGATCCCTGGAATCACAGAGTCGCCTCTCCAAATGACACCGTCACAATCGAAAATGAAAA